TGTACATGCATGGATATGTGTGTGCATGTGTGTAAGAAGGGAGAAGAAGAGGTCTACGACCTGGATGGCTTTCGAGGGGAGGAAGGGACGAGGAATCCAAGGACGAAAGGAGTTTCAAGATAGAAGAAGAAAGGGAATAGGAGGAATAGGATGAGGAGGTGGTGGTGAAGGTGGAGGTGGAGGTGGAGGATAACGACAACGACGACGACAACGACGAAGCGATCGAGCGTCACGAATTTTCGTGCTAGGATACCTCGTGGAGATTGAATAGGGTTTGTGAAGGTGAAGGAGAAGGTGGAGGAGGAGTAGAAGGAGGAGGAGTAGGAGGAGGAAGAGGAGGGTGTTCGTTACAATCAAAACTTACGACTCCTTTCGTCCCTACTAATAGTATTCGCTTGCATAACGAACTAACGTGTTACTGTCATAGGTGGGTGTGTACAATTTGACAAATGGTACGATCAGATGATTCTATTGCAAATTAGTTTTCTCTTATTTCGTTTATCTTTTATCGATTTTATCTCTACGTATTTGATCTATGAATAAATATATGTAATTATGTATTATATAATGTATTTGATATACGTGTTTAGTATGTATGTATTATATGCATGCATATATATCTATATATTGTATGTATGTTCATTTATGTTTTGTATGTATGTATGTATGTATTATTATTAAAAATATAATATAATATTTATATATTTAAAATTGTATATTTTTATAATATTTCATTATTGTACAAAAATTGTTCATTCAATTCTTACTAGAATAATACCCTAGAAAAAGAAGACACTAGGAAGCGGTGTATCAAAAAAAAAATGAAAAGAGAAACATTGAAAGAAAAAGAAAACTGGCAAAGGTTGCTTGAATTTTAATGATTCTCCTTCTTCTTCTTCTTCTTCTTCTTCTTCTTCTTCTTCTTCTTCTTTTTCTTCTTCTCTCTTTTCCTATTTTTTCATTTTTTTTTTTTTATTCTTAAGGTTCATAGGTTAACTAGGAAGCCAGTACGAGAATACGAAATCATCCTCGTGCGAATATAATTACGGTTTTATACGCGTGTATTATTTACTCTCTTGCGCGTGAACTAACGCGTTATGCAAGAATTATATATAAATATATATAATATTATACATAAATGTGTGTGTAAATATATATATATATATATATATATATATATAT